TTGGCACTGACACCTCCCACCTGTTGGCACTGACACCTCCCACCTGTTGGCACTGACACCTCCCACTTGTTGGCACTGAACCGTCCTACCTGTTGGCATTGACCCCTCCCACCTGTTGGCACTGACACCTCCCACCTGCTGGCACTGACACCTCCTACCTGTTTGCACTGACCCCTCCTATCTGTTGGCACTGACACCTCCCACCTGTTGGCACTGACACCTCCCACCTGTTGGCACTGACCCCTACCTGTTGGCACTGACCCCTTCTACCTGTTGGCACTGACCTCTCCTTCCTGTTGGCACTGACCCCTCTCACCTGTTGGCACTGACCCCTTGTTCCTGTTGGCACTGACCCCTTCTACCTGTTGGCACTGATCTCTACCTGTTGGCACTGACCCTCCTACCTGTTGGCACTGACCCCTTTCGTACCTGCTGGCACTGACCCCTTCTACCTGTTGGCACTGACCCTCCTACATGCTGGCACTGACCCTTGTTCCTGTTGGCACTGACCCCTTCTACTTGTTGGCACTGACCCCTTGTACCTGCTGGCACTGACCCTACCTGTTGGCACTGACCCCTTGTACCTGTTGGCACTGACCCCTTCTACCTGTTGGCACTGACCTCCTACATGTTGGCACTGACCCCTTGTTCCTGTTGACACTGACCCCTTCTGTTGGCACTGACCCCTTGTACCTGTTGGCACTGACCCCTTCTACCTGTTGGCACTGACCCTTCTTACCTTTTGGCACTGACCCTTGTTCCTGCTGACACTGACCCCTTGTTACCTGTTGGCACTGACCCCTTCTACCTGTTGGCACTGACCCTCTCCTACCTGTTGGCACTGACCCCTTGTACCTGTTGGCACTGACCCCTTCTACCTGTTGGCACTGACCCCTTCTACTGTTGGCACTGACCCCTTGTTCCTGCTGACACTGACCCCTTCTTACCTGTTGGCACTGACCCTTGTACCTGTTGGCACTGACCCCTGTACCTGTTGGCACTGACCCCTTCTACCTGTTGGCACTGACCCCTTGTTCCTGTTGACACTGACCCCTTCTGCTTGTTGGCACTGACCCCTTCTACCTGTTGGCACTGACCCCTTTCTACCTGTTGGCACTGACCCCTGTACTTATTGGCACTGACCCTCCTACCTGTTGGCACTGACCCCTTGTACCTGTTGGCACTGACCCCTTTCTACCTGTTGGCACTGACCCCTTGTTCCTGTTGACACTGACCCCTTCTACTTGTTGGCACTGATCTCTCCTACCTGTTGGCACTGACCCTCCTACCTGTTGGCACTGACCCTCTACCTGTTGGCACTGACCCCTTCTACCTGTTGGCACTGACCCCTGTTCCTGTTGACACTGACCCCTTCTACCTGTTGGCACTGATCTCTTCTACCTGTTGGCACTGACCTCTTTCCTGTTGGCACTGACCCCTTGTTCCTGCTGACACTGACCCCTTCTACCTGTTGGCACTGACCCCTGTTCCTGTTGACACTGACCCTTCTACTTGTTGGCACTGATCTCTCCTACCTGTTGGCACTGACCCCTTGTTCCTGTTGACACTGACCCTTCTACTTGTTGGCACTGACCCCTGTACCTGCTGGCACTGACCCCTTTGTTCCTGTTGACACTGACCCTTCTACTTGTTGGCACTGACCCTTGTTCCTGTTGACACTGACCCTTCTACCTGTTGGCACTGATCACTCCTACCTGTTGGCACTGACCCCTTTGTTCCTGCTGACACTGACCCCTTCTACCTGTTGGCACTGACCCCTTGTTCCTGCTGACACTGACCCCTTCTACTTGTTGGCACTGATCTCCTACCTGTTGGCACTGACCCCTTGTTCCTGTTGACACTGACCCCTCTACTTGCTGGCACTGACCCCTGTTCCTGTTGACACTGACCCCTTTGTTCCTGTTGACACTGATCTCTCCTATCTGTTGGCACTGATCTGTCCTACCTGTTGGCACTGATCTCTCCTACCTGCTGGCACTGACCCCTTGTTCCTGTTGACACTGACCCCTTCTACCTGTTGGCACTGACCCCTTGTTCCTGCTGACACTGACCTCTTCTACCTGTTGGCACTGACCCTTGTACCTGTTGGCACTGACCCCTTCTACTTGTTGGCACTGACCCTTGTACCTGTTGGCACTGACCTCTTCTACCTGTTGGCCTTGACCCCTTGTCTCTGCTGGCACTGACCCCTTCTACTTGTTGGCACTGACCCCTTGTACCTGTGGCACTGACCCCTTCTACCTGTTGGCACTGACCCCTTGTCTCTGCTGACACTGACCCTCCTACTTGTTGGCACTGACCCTTTCCTCCTGTTGGCACTGACCCCTTCTACTTGTTGGCACTGACCCCTTGTTCCTGCTGGCACTGACCCCTCTCTACATGTTGGCACTGACCTCCTCACCTGTTGGCACTGACCCTTCCTGCTTTTGACACTGACCCCTCCTACTTGTTGGCACTGATCTCCTCTACCTGTTGGCACTGACCCCTACTACCTGTTGGCACTGACCCTCCTACATGTTGGCACTGACTCTCCTACATGTTGGCACTGACCCCTCCTACATGTTGGCACTGACCCCTCCTACTTGTTGGCACTGACCCTCCTACCTGTTGGTACAGATTGCTCTTACATGTTGGCACTGACCCTCCTACTTGTTGGCACTGACCCCTCCTACATGTTGGCACTGACCCTCCTACTTGTTGGCACTGACCCCTCCCTACATGTTGGTACTGACCCCTCCTACATGTTGGCACTGACCCCTCCTACATGTTGGCACTGACCCTCCTACTTGTTGGCACTGACCCCTCCTACTTGTTGGCACTGGACCCTCCTACATGTTGGTACTGACCCCTCCTACATGTTGGCACTGACCCCTCCTACCTTTGGTACAGATTGCTCTTACATGTTGGCACTGACCTCCTACTTGTTGGCACTGACCTCCTACATGTTGGCACTGACCCTCCCTACTTGTTGGCACTGACCCCTCCTACATGTTACTGACCCCTCCTACATGTTGGCACTGACCCTCCTACATGTTGGCACTGACCCTCCTACTTGTTGGCACTGACCCTCCTACTTGTTGGTACTGACCCCTCCTACATGTTGGTACTGACCCCTCCTACATGTTGGTACTGACCCTCCTACTTGTTGGCACTGACCCTCCTACATGTTGGCACTGACCCTCCTACTTCTTGTTGGCACTGACCCTCCTACATGTTGTACTGACCCTCCTACATGTTGGTACTGACCCTCCTACATGTTGGTACTGACCCTCCTACCTGTTGGCACTGACCCCTCCTACTTGTTGGCACTGACCCTCCTACATGCTGGCACTGACCCTCCTACTCTTGCTGGCACTGACCCCTCCTACTTGTTGGCACTGACCCTCCTACATGTTGGTACTGACCCCTCCCTACATGTTGGTACTGACCCCTCCTACATGCTGGCACTGACCCCTCCTACATGTTGGCACTGACCCCTCCTACTTGTGGGCACTGACCCCTCCTACCTGTTGGTACAGATTGCTCTACATGTTGGCACTGACCCCTCCTATTTGTTGGCACTGACCCTTCCTACATGTTGGCACTGACCTCCTACTTGTTGGCACTGACCCTCCTACCTGCTACCCTCCTACCTGTTGGCACTGACCTCTTATCTGTTGTCAGTGACAAGTATCGTCCAGTTGTTGGCTGTACTAGCCAGGCCAGCCTCCACACTGGGGCCAGGCCAGGCCTCCACACAAGATCCAGGGCCAGGCCTTTCACATAGGGGCCCAGGACCAGGCCTCCATACAGGGCCAGGCCAGGCCTACACAAGATCAAGGCCATGCTCTCACAGAGGCCAGACCAGGCCTCCACACAGGCGCCAGGCCAGCCTCCACAGGGCCAGCCAGCCTCCACACAAGATCCAGGGTCAGTCACATAGGGCCAGGACCAGCTCCCCATACAGGCCAGGGCTAGCTCCACCGGGGCCAGGGCCAGGCCTTCACATAGGGGCCAGGACCAGGCCTCCACACAGGGGCCAGGGCTAGGCCTCCACTGGGGCCAGCAGGCCTCCACACAAGATCCAGGGCCAGGCCTTGACATAGCTGGGGGCTAGGCCTCCACACAGGGCCAGGGCTAGGGCCTCCACACCGCCAGGGCCAGGCTCCACAAGATCCAGGCCAGGCTTTCACATAGCAGGACCAGGCCTCCATACAGGGGCAGGGGCCAGCCTCCACACAAGATCAAGGGCCATGCCTTCACATAGCCAGACCAGGCCTCCATAGGGGCCAGGACCAGCCTCCACAGGGGCCAGGGCTAGGCCTCCACACACGATCAAGGGCCATGCCTTCACATAGGGGCCAGGACCAGCCCTCCATACAGGGCCAGGACCAGGCCTCCACACAGGCCAGGGCTAGGCCTCCACACACGATCAAGGGCCAGGCCTTCACATAGGGGCCAGGACCAGGCCTCCACACAGGCCAGGCCTCCACACAAGATCAAGGGCCAGCCACATAGGGGCCAGGACCAGGCCTCCACACAGGCCAGGCCAGGCCTCCACACAAGATCAAGGGCCATGCCTTCATAGGCCAGACCAGGCCTCCATACAGGCCAGGCCTCCACACAAGATCAAGGGCCATGCTCACATAGGGCCAGGACTAGGCCTCCACACAGGGGCCAGGGCCGGCCTCCACACAAGATCAAGGGCCAGGCCTCACATAGGGGCCAGGACCGGCCTCCACAGGGCCAGGCCAGGCCTCCACACAAGATCAAGGGCCAGGCCTTCACATAGGGGCCAGGACCAGGCCTCCACACAGGGGCCAGGGCCAGGCCTCCACACACAGATCAAGGGCCATGCCTTCACATAGGGGCCAGGACCAGGCCTCCACACAGGGGGCAGGGCCAGCCTCCACACAGATCAAGGCCATGCCTCCACATAGGGGCCAGGACCAGGCCTCCACACAGGGGCCAGGGCTAGCCCTCCACACACGATCAGGGCCATGCCTTCACATAGGGCCAGGGCCAGGGCCTCCTACAGGGGCCAGGACCAGGCCTCCACACAGGGGCCAGGGCTAGGCCTCACACAGGGCGAGGGCCAGGCCTCCACACACAGATCAAGGGCCATGCCTTCACATAGGGGCCAGGGCCAGGCCTCCATACAGGGGCCAGGACCAGGCCTCCACACAGGGGCCAGGGCCAGCCTCCACACAGGGCGAGGCCAGGCCTCCACCACGATCAGGCCATGCCTTCACAGGGGCCAGGGCCAGGCCACAAGATCAAGGGCCAGGCCTTCACATAGGGGCCAGGACCAGGCCTCCACACAAGATCCAGGGCCAGGCCTTCACATAGGGGCCAGGACCAGGCCTCCATACAGGGCCAGGGCCGGGCCTCCACATAAGATCAAGGCCATGCCTTCACATAGGGGCCAGGACCAGGCCTCACACAGGGGCCAGGGCTGGGCCTCCACGATCAAAGCCAGGCCTTCACATAGGGGCCAGGACCAGGCCTCCACACACAGGGGCCAGGGCCGGGCCTCCACAGGGCCAGGGCCAGGCCTCCACAGGGGGCCAGGGCCAGGCCTCCCACAGGGGCCAGGGCTGAGCCTCCACACAAGATCAGGGCCATGCCTTCACATAGGGGCCGGGACCAGGCCTCCATACAGGGGCCAGGGCTGAGCCTCCCACACCGGGGCAGGGCGGCCTCCACAGGGGCCAGGGCCGGGCCTCCACACACAAGATCAAGGGCCATGCTCTTCACACAGGGGCCAGGACCAGGCCTCCATACAGGGGCCAGGGCCAGGCCTCCACAAGATCAAGGGCCATGCCTTCACACAGGGGGCGGGACCAGGCCCTCCATACAGGGAGCCAGGGCCGAGCCTCCCACACAGGGGCCAGGGCTGAGGCCTCCACAGATCAAGGGGCCATGCCTTCACACAGGGGCCAGGACCAGGCCTCCTCCATGCAGGGGCCCGGGCCTCCACCGAGGGCCAGGGCCAGGCCCTCCATACAGGGGCCAGGCCCGGGCCTCCACACAGGGGCCAGGGCTAGGCCTCCACACAAGATCAAGGGCCATGCCTTCACACAGGGGCCAGGACCAGGCCTCCATACAGGGGCCAGGGCCAGGCCTCCACACAAGATCAGGGCCATGCCTTCACACAGGGGCCAGGACCAGGCCCCTCACAAGATCAGGGCCAGGCCTTCACACAGGGGCCAGGACCAGGCCTCCATACAGGGGCCAGGGCAGGCCTCCACACAGGGGCCAGGGCTGAGCCTCCACACAAGATCAAGGGCCATGCCTTGCCACACATGGGGCCAGGACCGGGCCCCATACAGGGGCCAGGGCCAGGGCCTTCTAGGGGCCAGGACAGGCCTCCACACAGGGGGCCAGGGCCAGGCCTTCACTGTGGGGCCAGGGCCAGGCCTCCATCAGGGGCCGGGGCTGGGCCTCCACACAAAGATCAGGGCCAGCCTTCACATAGGGGCCAGGACAGGCCTCCATACAGGGGCCAGGGCTGAGCCTCCACACACAGATCCAGGGCCAGGCCTTCACATAGGGGCCAGGACCAGGCCTCCACACAGGGGCCAGGGCCAGGCCTTCACATAGGGGGCCAGGGCCAGGCCTCCATACAGGGGGCCAGAGCTGAGCCTCCACACAGATCCAGGGCCAGGCCTTCACACAGGGGCCAGGACCAGGCCTCCCTCCCAGGGAGCCAGGGCTGGGCCTCCCACACAACATCCAGGCCAGGCCTTCACATAGGGGCCAGGGCCAGGCTCTCCACAGGGGGCCAGGGCTGGGCCTCCACACAAGATCAGGGCCAGGCCTTCACATGGGGGCCAGGACCAGGCCTCCGCCACAGGCAGGGGCCAGGCCTTCACATAGGGGCCAGGACCAGGCCTCCCACACAGGGGCCAGGGCAGGCCAGCTCACATAGGGGCAGGGCCAGGCCTCCATGACAGGGGCCAGGGCCGGGCCCTTCACATAGGGGCCAGGACCAGGCCTCCACACACGGGGCCACAGGCAGAGCCTTCACATAGGGGCCAGGGCCAGGCCTCCATACAGGGGCCAGGGCCAGGCCTCCACACAGGGACCAGGGGCTGGGCCTCCACACAAGATCAAGGGCCATGCCTTCACATAGGGACCAGGACCAGGCCTCCACACAGGGGGCCAGGACCAGGCCTTCACATAGGGGCCAGGACCAGGCCTCTCCCATACAGGGAGCCAGGGCCAGGCCTCCACAAGATCAAGGGCCATGCTCATTCACATAGGGGCCAGGACCAGGCCTCCACACAGGGGCCAGGGCCAGGCCTCCACCAGAGAGACCAGGGCCAGGTCTCCCACAAGATCCAGGGCCAGGCCTTCACATAGGGGCCAGGACCAGGCCTCACACAGGGGGCCAGGGCCAGGGCCTCCACCTGAGACAGGGCCAGGCCTCCACACAAGATCCAGGGCAGGGCGCTTCACATAGGGGCCAGGACCAGGCCTCCTCCTCCGGGGGCCAGGGCCAGGCCTCCACACGGGGTGCGGGACCAGGCCTCCACACAGGGGCCAGGACCAGGCCTCCACAAGATCCAGAGGCCAGAGGCGCCTTCACATAGGGGCCAGGACCAGGCCTCCTTACAGGGGGCCAGGACCAGGCCTCCACACAGGGGGCCAGGGCTGGCCTCCACCACAAGATCCAAGGGGGCCATGCCTTCACATAGGGAGCCAGGTTGAGCCTCCCACACAGGGAGCCAGGACCGGGCCTCTCCACACAGAGCCAGGGCAGGCCTCTTGAGATCAGGACGCCTCACACTGAGGACCAGGGATCCAGGGGCCCCAGGACCCAGGCCTCCAGGAGACCAGGACCGAGGCGCCTCCACACAGGGCCAGGGCCAGGCCTTCACACAGGGGCCAGGGCCAGGCCTCCCACAGGCCAGGGCCAGGCCTCCACACAGATCCAGGGCCAGGGCCTTCACATGGGGCCCAGGACAGGCCTCATACAGGGGCCAGGGGCGGAGGCCTCCACACAAGATCAAGGGCCTTCACATAGGGGCCAGGACCAGGCCTCCACACACAGGGGCGAGGCTAGGCCTCCACACACGATCAAGGGCCAGGCCTTCACATGGGGGCCAGGACCAGGCCTCCACACAGGGGGCCAGGGCCAGGCCTCCCACACGGGGCCAGGGCCAGGCCTCCACACATGATCAGGGCCAGGCCTTCACATGGGGGCCAGGACCAGGCCTCCACACACAGGGGCGAGGGGCTGAGCCTCCACACACGATCAAGGGCCAGGCCTTCACATGGGGGCCAGGACCAGGCCTCCCACAGGGGCCAGGGCTGAGCCTCCATGGGCCAGGGCCAGGCCTCCACAGGGGCCAGGGCCGGGCCTCCATACAGGGGCCAGGGCCAGGCCTCCCTGAGATCAAGGGCCATCCTTCACAGGGGCCAGGACCAGGCCTCCCACACAGGGGGCCAGGGCTGGGCCTCCACCACACGATCAAGGGCCGGAGCCTTCACATAGGGGCCAGGACCAGGCCTCCACACAGGGGCCAGGGCCAGGCCTCACACAAGATCAGGGCCAGGACTTCACATAGGGGGCCAGGACCGGGCCTCCACACAGGGGCCCAGGGGCCAGGCCTCCACAGATCCAGGGCCGAGGCCTCCACATAGGGGCCAGGACCAGGCCCCACTCCACAGGGGCCAGGGCCGGGCCTCCACACACAAGATCAAGGGCCGAGCCCTGCCACACAGGGCCAGGACCAGGCCTCCCACACAGGGGCCAGGGCCAGGCCTCCACACAGATCAGGGCCAGGCCTCCACACAGGGGGCAGGACCAGGCCTCCACACAGGGGCCAGGGGCCAGGGCCACCACACAAGATCAGGGTCAGGCCTTCACATAGGGGGCCAGGACCAGGCCTCCACACAGGGGCCAGGGCCGGGCCTCCCACACAGGGGGCCAGGGCCAGGCCACCACACACAAGATCAGGGTCAGGCCTCACACAGGGGCCAGGGCAGGCCTCCACACAGGGGCCAGGGGCCGGAGGCCACCACACAGATCAGGGTCAGGCCTCCACACAGGGGCCAGGACCAGGCCTCCACACAGGGGCCAGGGCCAGGCCTCCACAGGGGCCAGGGCCAGGCCTCCACACAAGACCAAGGGTCAGGCCTCCACACAGGGGCCAGGACTAGGCCTCCACACAGGGGCCAGGACTAGGCCTCCCACACACAGGGCCAGGGCCAGGCCTCCACACAGGTACTAGGGCCAGGCCGCCACACAGGATCCAAGGCCAGGCCTCCAGGCAATAGGTAGGTAGGTAGGGTCTGGCCCCTTTAACCAGCTTAAACTCGTTTACCACCCCCTCGGCCTTCTGATAAAAGATGAAACTTGGAAATTCAAATGTGTCCGCCATCCATCTCCCGGCCTGGGGGGCGATCACCCTGAGGCCATTTTAAAATGTAGATGCTCCATTACCGGTGTGGAAACGGCCTGCGGTGTAGAGGGAGCGGCCAGCTGTCTTAACGCCCCCAGCGTGGTGTGTGGTGGTGGAGGTGATTGACGGAGCTATAGAGTTTAGGAAGTTGTGTTCCTCTCATACGAACTAGGAGTCTCTCTCTCTCTCTCTCTCTCTCTCTCTCTCTCTCTCTCTCTCTCTCTCTCTCTCTCTCTCTCTCTCTCTCTCTCTCTCTCTCTCTCTCTCTCTCTCTCTCTCTCTCTCTCTCTCTCTCTCTCTCTCTCTCTCTCTCTCTCTCTCTCTCTCTCTCTCTCTCTCTCTCTCTCTCTCTCCTAAGCCTATTACTGTGACGTAATCTCACGACTCTCACGACTCTTCATGGTTCAAATCCTAATTTATATTCATGAATCAAAGTCTCTCCCAGATCCTCTTATTTATTTCTGTCCCAAACTGGCCCCTTGTTTGTGTCCCTGGCCGTTGTTGTGTCCCCAAACTGGCCCTTGTTGTGTCCCAACTGGTCCTTGTTGTGTCCCAAACTGGCCCCTTTGTTGTGTCCCAAACCGGCCCTTGTTGTGTCCCCAAACATCAAGGCTTCTCAGGTTTCTTTACAATCCATCCTCCAGGTCCTCCACCACCTCCCACATCCTCCAGGTCCTCCTCCACCTCACATCCTCCAGGTTCCTCCACCACCTCACATCCTCCAGGTCCTCCTCCACCTCACATCCTCCAGGTCCTCCTCACCTCATCCTCCAGGTCCTCCTCCATCCCACCTCCAGGTCCTCCACCACCTCACATCCTCCGGGTCATCCACCACCTCACATCCTCCAGGTCCTCCTCCACCTCACATCCTCCAGGTCCTCCTCCACCTCTCCATCCTCCAGGTCCTGCTCCACCTCCCACATCCTCCAGGTCCTCCTCCACCCCCATCCTCCAGGTCCTCCTCCCCCTCCCATCCTCCAGGTCCTCCTCCACCTCATCCTCCAGGTCCTCCTCCCACCTCACATCCTCCAGGTCCTCCTCCCTCACATCCTCCAGGTCCTCCTCCCACCTCATCCTCCGGGTCATCCACCACCTCACATCCTCCAGGTCCTCCTCCACCTCACATCCTCCGGGTCCTCCTCCACTTCACATCCTCCAGGTCCTCCTCCACCTCACATCCTCCAGACCTCCTCCACCTCACATCCTCCAGGTCCTCCTCCACCTCACATCCTCCAGGTCCTCCTCCACCTCACATCCTCCAGGAC